TCAATAATGAAAACTTGTATTAAGGTTGCACCCAAAATCCCATTATTGGATACGTTGCACATGCTTAAAGCCAGTGGCACATTTGCTAAACATTGCTCAAGAATTTAAGGTTACTGTACACATGGGTTTCCTACTTTTCTGCATGGAAATATAGAGGGGCAGATTCGGGGTTTTTTTTCCATATTTAGGACATGTTCACGCTTCTGGCTATCCCCTCAGTCATCAAATTGGCCATAAATCAAGCAGAAAGCTCTGCTGAGCCCCTTGGGAAGAGGGAAGGCTCATTGTTTATTTGCTATACATTTCTCCTGTGTGACCATGGGAAGTTTAACACATCTCACACGTGCTTGGATGAGCCATCTTCACTGACATCTCTGGTACACAGCATCTGAGTGTGTATTTGTGCCTGGGAAATAACATGGAGAGACTGAGTAGCTCCAGTTTAAAGGAACCAGGCAAAAGTGCTTTGATGTGAAATGTGTGTGACTGTGACGAACACCAGAGAGACAGACAGAAGGAGACAAGAGAGATGTAGGAACACATAGAGACAGAGAGAGAAATCAAGTGGTGCGGCAAGAGAGACAAAGCATGGCAGAGAGAAACAGAGAGAAAAACAGGGGAAGAAGGAAGAAAGGGGGAACCGGAGGGCGGAGCAGGGGGCACAGAGAGGGGTCTTTGTGACTCCCCTGTGACACAGAGGGGTCAGGCAGGTGGGACACGGGAAGTAGGGAGAGAAAGAGGGACAGAAGTTGGGAGAGAGGGAGCTAGAGGAACAGAGAATGGGGGTATGGGTGGACAGGCAAGACAGAGATAAGGGTCATAGAAAAGAAAGGTGAAACACAGAAGGAGGAGCGAAGTGTGACACAGAGGAGTTGTCTGGTGTCACAGCCCCAGGCTTGGAGGTGAACCTTTTCTGGGCAGCTGAAAGAGGTGAGGTGCAAACAGCAATGCAACTAACTCTGGCTGCTCACGTACTCCTGGTTCTGAAAAGAAACTAGCACTTCCTTTAAAAATAAATGTAATGTCATCAACATACATGACTCCATTACACATCACCTCGTTCTAAAAGGAAAAGTTATACCTCATTGTGGTTACCTCCTGAGACCTAAACAAATAAGACACTTAATAGACTGGAGATCTATTTGTATTCAAATAGCTAAGATGTTGGATTCATGACACTACATGAAGACAGGTGTAAGACAACTACTACACTCAAGCCTGTGATCCAAGAAACCAAAAAGGGTTTGGCTTTGATGAATATTTGGGAGAAAGATCAACACAGCTTTTTTCAGTGTCAATTTAAAACTAATCTTTAGACATTTTAAGACAGAAGTAAAGCACAAGCACAGAAGGGATGGAGCAGTGAGTAAGGGTAAAGTCAATAAAAAGAACAACTGTGATGGTCATTCCACACTGCCCACTGGATCCTGGCATTTGATATACTCTACATCAGGTCTACGATATTCTTGCTCTATACACAACAACAACATGGGTACAACCAAGGTACGGTGTTAAAGTGGTGGCACTTGTGTATGGAACCACTACTTCGAGTTAAAATAAAGATGCCCCTAATCCCACACGACGCCTAGTCAGCAGGCTAATGGTGCCTGCAACAACTACTGCCAGTTCCCTTGGTTTGTCCAATTTATAATTATCGCTTCATTCTGCCTCTGCATTACATTTAGGAAAAGAGAAACTATCACTCCAAACAAAAATCGTATGGAGGTACTTCAAGAGAGCTGCAGGGTGTGTCAGTCACATAAATGTAAAAACCACGAAACAGGGATAGTGCAATTATCCAAACCCCAAGCATGGGAAACCCATGAAATGTCAGGATTATATTTAACATAACTCAAATATGCTAATATCCTTAACTCGGCCCTGGTCAATTACAAGAAGAAAAGTAGGTAAAAATACATGGAAAAATCCGTCACAGGTGTTTTACAAAGCAATATATTCTAATCTAGAACCACAAACACTAAAACAGTGAAATCATAGCGAGATGGGTTTGCAATCATTTTTCAGAGCTATTGTTGGAGACAGCACAGAAATTTAGCCTTTACCCTTTAGAATGATAACCAAATGACAGCTATCTAAAGGATTTCAGTGCATTAAAACTAAATGCTGAAGTTAAATGATTTGTTTATGGCAGGACAGAGCTAAGGGTGGTGATACCAGAATAAATATTGGAACAACACAAACAGCTCAGAACAACTTTGCTCTTCATTTTCTTCAAGTTAAAACATTCAGACTAAAATGAAAAAGGTTGAGCTCTTTAATTCCCAATGTACTGAAACACTACAACTTGATGAACAGATACATCAGAACTACGACTCCAGGGAAGCTTCCTTCATTTTGCAGTTAGCACAGTGAGACTGACCATGAAGTCACTTGTCAGACCACATAGGTCAGCTCAAGAGTGGACGGAGATATCCTGGGAGGAGTTTTATGGCTCACAGCTGGATGACTGAGCCCAGGCAGATTCAGCTGAGCCTAGAGTAGGAGCCACAGCCTCAACCGCACTTCTCTCTCAATCTGCTAACCTTCTACCACTTGCTCACGTGCTCTACCTTTCCTCAGTACTACTCCCTTCTCTCCCTCCTACCACAACAGTATCTCTTTCTAATTTGTCCCTGAATCCTGATCGTCATAACCTTCAGTCCCACTGATGCACAGCACTTATGCATTCTCTCCTCTTCCTGGAGCATGAACTGACCTTCACAAGATTTCTTATATAAAGACTTTGTTTCTTCTTTGTGGAGCCTGAGGAGTGACACACACAAATACAAGGTAGGCTGCAGTTGGGGCTTAGGCCACCCTACAGCTTGCTGAGCAGCGTTCCTTTTTCGATTAATTCAAGAGGGCTACTTTGCAAAGTTGCTTCCTCCAAATCAAAGACCTGTGCAACCATTGCTTCATGCAATGTCTTACCCTAAATGGCCTCCCTTACTCTGCCACACTGCCAATTCTCCTGAAGAAGCCATAGGGTGAAGGAAGAAACAGCCCTAGCTTGCTTGTTCTGCTCTGCAGTTCCTGGAAGCCCAGATCTGGTTACCCTAAGACACCACCTGACCTTGAGAAAATAATTCCAGCTTTCATTGCCAATGCAGCAGAGAGAGACATTCGTGCTGTCATGAGCTGCATAGCTCAGACATGGGTTATTTGCTATGAATATTTTGGTACCTTATTTTCCCTGGTCATAAACTAAATGTAAACTAATAACCAATTTCATGCAGGCATCTAAAAACTTATGGCACTCATGTTTGCAAATGCTCCAAGACCTTTCTGGAAATGGCCTAAGGGAAAGCAAAGTATCCATATTTTTAATGAGTTTGACTGGTGCGCCTAGCTGTCATTTTTGTGCCTGATTAGTGGCAACAGGCAGTTTTCCATTTATTTCCAAGCAGCTGCTAGAGAAGAGCTGCAGGCAGATGTAATCTGGAGACTGCAAAATTCTGCTCGCTGTCAATGTCACACCAGCATTTTACTTTCTTCTACTCCTATTTGTTATTAATCTGTATTTATATCTAACTACAGCTCTTAGTTAGCCTTTGCCAGAGGCTTAACCATTAGAGGTGACTGTGAGGAAGGAGAGGAAAGAAACTGCCATAAATCATGCTTTTACCACCCCATATAATTCTGGGGAGGTGAGAAACTGTGCAAAGCTTGGGCTATTTAGCAAGACAATAGCTTGCACAGTAGATCAGACCAGGTCAAGTCTTCTTTATCCTTAGTGCTAAATGTGAAAAGGAAACATACCTGTCAGAGAACTTTCCTTCTAATCATGCTCAGTTCCTACTTTTTACAGGGCTTTATATCCCTTTAAAACTTCTAACCATTCTAATTCAGAGGATGTTCTTACATTTCAGGTTTTCTGAATCTGCTAAGCCCTCAGGCTCAGTAAGACCATGTCACATTTGTTCCAAATAAGCATTGTATAAAAGCATACTTTTTCCATCAGCTTTCAATGCACTGCCTTTTAATTTAATATTAAGAACAAGACCACACTCAATTATGAAAAGATAAACAGGAATACCTGATTCACTTTGTCCTCTCCAAAGCAAACAATTTTAATTTAAGCAGCAGAATTAATACCATTTGTTTTCTACTCATGATTTTCTTTTTAAGGCTTCAAATCTTTTTTTCATCTCTTGTCTATTTCTTTTATCCCTTTTGATCAGGGCTGAACAGTGTGTTCCAGGTGAGACAATACCATTCATTTAATGACGTGTCCTGGTTTGACTGAGATAGAGTCACAGCCCAGCCATGCTAGGCAGGCTCAGGTCAGCCAGGGCAGGTGACTTGAGTTAGCTACATGTGTAGCCCCTACCATAAAGTCATGGTCATTCTAAAGGGGGAAGGTTTGCTGAGGAAGGGGAGCTCCTGTGGGACTTTTCCCTGCTCCTGAGGGCTGCTCTCCAGTTGAATGTGACAACTGGATATTAACTTGGCTGAGTATAACTCTGTAGATCTCTGCGGGTATTGGTGTTACTAAAATCTGTTCTCATTTCCACCCACGGGTCCACTCTCCTTTTCCCAATTCCCCTTCCTGGCTCATGAGGGGTCATCAGGGGATAGAGTGACTGTTACAGTTTAGCCCCGGGTACGGGCTGAATGTAGACACGAAGGCATTCTATTATTTTCCAGACCATTCCTTACCCATCCTTACGTTTTGCTCACTTGTTTTGTTCACTTCACTGTAAATGAGAAGCCCGCTCTGTGTAATCTTTCCTTTAGAGGTAAGATGAATGTAATTCATTGCAAAGACTGTTCATAAGTTTTCAAAATGGAGACAAAGATGACAGGCATATATGCTGTGTATGATAAAGTTTCCCACAGCAGTGTGAGGGGCATTCAGTTTATTGCACACTTTCCCCAAATGTTCCCATATATCCAGAGGGCCTGAAATCCTAAGAAACACTCTAGGCTTCAGCTTGGATTTTTGGAAATTCTTCCCCAAGTCTTTTCCAGCAAAAGTGGCTTTAGCAGTCTACCTGGCCGTAACATCATTTTACTCTGCTTGACATAAGCTTTATTGTCTTTAAGCATCCAGTCAGAACGGGAATGTCCTCAGGAACTCAGAGCAGTCCTCTTCCACTTCAGTGTTCAATCATAATGAAGGCTTTTCAGTGTTCCTCCTCCAAACCTTTTCCTTTCAGAGAAGCTAGGAATCTAGAGACAGGAAAGACATGTCATCATGTCAGAGTCAGCATGAGCTCCCTCTAGCCCACATTTGAGCGCCTGTTATCAAGCCAACTGCAAAAATGCATTCCTCTTCCACGCCGTCTCCGGAATCAGGACTAAAATACTTCCGCTCACCACTAGAGGAGCACTAGTAATTAAACAAGCTGCAAAACTTGAGTATGGCTCATTTGTTCTATGAAGCTCCTCAAGGCTTTTTGGCAAAGGTTTCAATGAAAGCCTGAATTTCTTGGTCAAATCCTAAACCAGTTAATTACAGATTTCGAAGTCTGTATTTCTCCCCAGATTCAAATGTGTGCAAGAATTTATCCTCCGCTCATTTTTAAAATGATAAAATAGTCATTACTAGGTCCTATTAAAGAGCTGTTGAGACTTTATCTCTTCTAACCTGAGACAGCAGCACTTCACTGATAGTTGAAAGTTCAGTTTTATCAATTGCTGAAAGCTTTAAGAAAACCATCAGAATAGAAATGGCTGCAATGATGCAAAGGATTAGCACTCCTGCTTTTGCAGCCCATCTGCAGATACTGCTTACACTGTGACAATGAGTGCTTACAAAGAAAATCTACTTGAAAACATCAGAAGCTTCTCTGGCTTAATGGTATTTCAAATAGATTTGCAATCCAATGCACCTGTGAATCCCCCAAAAGAAAGAGATGCACTGCTTTCTGATACTGTGTAAGACGTCTGTTCTACTGGCATCATAAAACTATTTGATTACAGTCCAGAGTAATGTTTAGATCTAAATAGACACAAGCAGAAACAGCAGACCCAGTAATCACATCCTCCCAAAACAATTTCACACTCTCAGAGGAAACAGAGTATATTAAAATGGAAAGTATCAACCAAGCACTACAAATCACACCAGGAGAACATGGGCATGTATGGATGGTATGGGACGAAAATGTTATTTACAATACAAAGTAGATTGCTTAGGCTATACACTTCATTGATAAACTGAGAAAGCTAAAGAGCTCACCCAAAATAAAAGTCCACTAAAAAACCCTCACAATTTAAATTTAGTTTGGGTTTTCAGGCCCAAACCTCAAACAGGTACACAAGGTATTCACTCAGGAACTGTTCTGTCCATCTCTGAAAAGCAATCAGCTCTAAGGGAAAAATCAGACAGATTTTGCACAAAGGGTCACCTAATGAAAACTGCTTTGGGAATTCAAAAAGGGAAAATGCAATCATTATAACTAAAAAGTAGCAGGACACCATAGGTAAAAACTTATCTGCTTTAGCATTTTTTATATCAAAAATCACTAATTAGGAGTAAGATTTATTTATCAGAAATCTGATTGAAGCCATAGCTACAAACAATTTGAAACTTATCATTCTTTTCATCCTCAAGAAGTCTGTAATAGAAATACCTCAAAACACGAGTGATCGAAGAAACCTATTGTAGAAAACCCACAAACACATTTGTAAGACTTACATTAAGTAGATAGTTTCAAATAACAACATTAAGACATTATATTGAAATCTCCAGCTTCAGTTTGGATTTTGTCTCTTTAAATTTGACTGTCCACTACTTAAGATTTGTCTTAAGCTTTTGAGCTGTTGTGAGGTAAATGAAAGTAGTCATCAGCAGGCTGTAATCTTTCGCACATGGCCACAAGGAATATGAAGTTAATCCTTGGCTAGCCACTAAAAATGATCGAATACGAAAAATAAAAATCTTACATCATGCATCAAAGACAACCAGCACACAAGCAGATTTCTGCATTAAGCTATTATCCCCACGAAAGGGAGACTTCCTTTCACTAGAATGTGGGGAGAGGGGAAGAAAAAAAGAGTGCAGAATTGAAAGAGGAAAAAGCAAAATTTTTTTTTTTAAGCATTAAAAAACCCTCAAAGCAAGCAAGCATTTTGTAATTTGTGACTGTTTTTTTCCCCACCCTCCCTAAGGGGCTTTCAGCTCAGCTACATCTAACGATACATTTGATTGTACTTCAGTGGTGCTATTCACGGTAATTTGCAAGCACCTCACAGATGCGGGAAGTGGAACCTTGCTACTCCCCACATGGTAGACTCTGCATAAGAAGGTGGGGGGCACATAAAGTTGAAGTGGCCTGCCCAAACCAGAAGAATAATTTTGCTAGTTCTTCACCAACTGTACTGAAAACAGTTAATTCAGCCATTTAGGAATGAATTACAAACTGGTATCATACTGCCATTTTCCTTGTGGCTCCACTGGTTCTATGAAAACTACCTGTACAAAACATAAAATGTCAGTTCCAGCTGTGCAAAAAAAGCCTTTTCATTGATCTTCAGAACAGCATCTCTAGCCTAAACCTGCAACCAAGCAGCCTGAAGCTGACAGATCTGAAAGAGATCATATTTGCCCATTTTACCTCACTCTTGGAACTCCTACTATGTGAGCATTCTTAATTATTTCACTGCCAATCACATTAGAGACAAATGCTTCACCTGACAAAAGTCAGCCGTCTTTCTGTCTATCCAAAACAGCTGTGCTCCCACAGATTAAAAACCTCAATTACCAGCATAGATTATCATTTAAATTGCATGAAGTCCGTGTTTTAAAGAGGACTCTGTCAGTACACATTACACAGGGAGAAACAAAACAAAAAAGGAGGAAAAATTACAAACCTGATTGCCATCTCTTAAGAAGTATCTCTTCTCTATGACCTGGGAAAAACAGAGAACTATTTTAGCTGGCACGGTATATGGATTATCACAGATTCCAATCGATGCTTCATACCTGAGCACTGAAACTCACAGGTAAGTGGGACAAGGTCTGAACCCATGTCCCCTGCTCCAGGCCTGCTGCTTTAAGTGTAGTGTTCTATTACACACAGAAGGACATGCCACCTCCAGCCCTTCTTAGTAAAGCTATGTTATCCTCAACTTCCACACACCTAATCCAGTTAGCCCTCTTTAGTAACGGAGGTGATAGTTTGGGTGCCTCCTTACTGCCTCTGTTATTCCCATCCCCTCTGCAGGTGCAGCAGTTCTGGACATTTGAAAAAGCTCATTCTGCAGGTGCATAACAACTCCAGTGGTTCTGAGTAGCCCCTGGGCATAGGTGATGCTCAAGAAGAGGTAGTCTGGCTTGCTCTCCGAGAACGATGCACAAAATGTCTGTGCTGAAGGATACATAGGGAGGCAGTACCATCAATCTAAGAATCAAAAAGTGATCTGTATCGCCCTGTACAATCTACAACCTCCTCCAAAGAAAATTCAGGCCAAATTTCCTCTAAAGTATGATCTGTTACAGGAGGTGATCTGCTCCACTACAGTATCTTTGTCCAGGGGATGCTTACATCAGAGCATTCCTTCTGTCATTTTCACAGTAGGCCTTGATGTTCTCTTTTGCAGGAAGGGAGAGCAATATGACAAATTTCTTAATTCCTAAAGTTTGCTTTAATCAGGATCAACAGAGCTAACCATAGTCTCATAACTCCCTACATTACTACCTTAGCACATGACAAACCCTCTGGCCATCCAAAGGACTCCAAAAGCATATGCAGATTGTCTTTGCACATTTGTGAGTTCTTTTTCATTGCTCTACGCAGATCAAGAATCAAATCTTCAAACAGATTAGCTATTTTCTGGAGGTTTCCAAAAGCAGATCGATCTTTGGCCTCCCCACAGCTGGCTTGAACCAACTCAAAAAGTGGAACATGAAAGGAGCATCTAACTGTTCCATGTTCAAATCACAGACAGCATTCAATACACAGAACAATAAAACATAATTTAATTGACTTGACTTACCTTATCAAAAAACCTGCTTAGTTTGACAGCATTGGATGAACCTGCAGCCAGGTAACGAGGATTGGTGCAATCCTAGAACACACAAAAGACAACAACAAACCAAGCACAAGGAAATCAATGTAAGGAAGCCACACACAAGGAAATCAACATACCCTTTCCCCTGACACATGCACATGTAACCATCTGGGGAAAACACAGTGCATCTGCTGATTTCTGCTCCACAGTCATTTAAGAGAAAAGACCAACTTCTGTTCTATGAATCAACCAGAGAATTCTAAGTACCCTCCTATATGCCCCATGTCTTCCTCCTGCCACCAGCTATACAGTCAGCTAGTAATTTCTACAGGCTACACAGGAGATTGTGCATGCATGTGCGTGTATATACAAACATTCACACAGCACATGTGTATTTTCATACATATATATACATTCTATATATATATATTAAAAAATGATGTGATCTTGATGTTTCATTCAAAGATAGTCTGTGTCAGAACTAAGAACAAGGAAGAGAAAACCCCCAACCATCAATTCTAAGCTTTCAATTTCAATTCTTTCTTATCTAACACCCCCTATAGCTCCCTATAGTGAGGCAAAGATGACCTCAAAGGGGACGGCCAGTCAAAGTGTGCATGACTCCAGCACTACTGAGAAAATCTCCAAAAGCCCAATTTTTGTTACAACATCTTTACTTTTACTGAAAATCGGACCCACTCCCATCTAAAAGAAAAACAACACTGGTGAGAAGGATACTAACCAAATTTATTTCTTCAGCATTGAAATCCTCAGCCAAGAAAGCTGTTCTGGTCAAAACTTCATTCCGCTTAGTTTCTGGGATCTGATCCAGCTTAGTTCCTATTACTAGCAGTGGAATCTGGTTATCAGCAAACTGTTCACGGTCATAGTCACTGATGAGGGAAATAAATACAATCCTGAATGAAACAATGGTCACGTAAGTGGGCACAGGGGTGCCATCAGCTCCCCTGTCCCTTCCAAATAACAGTAATTTATTTATTAAGGGTCACTATTTATCTAAGTGAGAATGTACTGTAACTGTAAATTAAGGAAGGGCTTCTACATCTAAATCTCCACACAGGAATTGAAAGGAAAGATAAAAGAAACCACATGAGTTGGTTTCTTCTCAGCACAGGTGAACCACAGAAGAAATGCTAACACAATCAGGAAAGAAACAGGAACTTCAGTATCATACCAAGCGTACGCAGCCACCAGAGACACATCATCTCCGAACCTTTGAAGTTCCTACACATATATACTTTTTAAAGAGGGACAATTAAATAAATTGCACCTGTGAAATACCACCCCTTTCCACATCAGATCAAAGAGGGTTGCAATAACAATTGTGTGGTGTCAAGTTACTAATTCTCCTACATTCAAGTAAAGGTAGCCCCCATAAGCCAAATTCCGGGCTTTTATTCAGACATGAATAATGATCAAAGATAGCCTTTATAAAATAAATAATATTGCAATTAAATACCATTAGAAATCCAAGCTCCAATCATTCTCCTCAGTTAGGATAATCACTTGTCTTTCATCTTTACCTAAACCAAGCTTTCTAGAAAGTAATTTTGCAACCCACAGCAACAACTTGACCAAGCAATTGTTAGTGACTGAGCATCTGTCCCCGATAGAAGTTAAGCTTTTGAAAATTTAAACGATTGTGAAGAACCCGTATGTGGAAAAACTGGAGAAA